TTCCTGAGGGCCATCCTCTTCCTCGATGCCTCTCCACTTCACCAAACACGGTGTTCTTCTCCAGGGACTGGTCTCTCCTGACAACCTGTCCCAAGTCTTTGAGACCAAGTGTCCCCTCCTTGTCTGCAAGGAGCAGTCTGATCGTCTTTCTTCCCAGACAGAGCTGTCCTTTGTGCGGTCCACCGTCCATTCAATATTCTTCCCAGCACCGAAGTTCAAAGGCACCGAGTCTTTGTTGGTCTTTCTTATGTACAGTGGTATTTTAGCCTGGTTTACACTTCCTTTATGGCCAGTGATCTAGCGTACCCGAGGAGCTGGCCATGTGCTATCTCTTATGAAGTATCTGTTCAAATCTTTGGACCATTTTATAAAGTGGCTTTAAAAGCTCCGTCTGCAAGGAGAGAGTGGAACACGCCCCGGCCCACCAAGCCCTGAGGACAGTATTCCGGCCCTGAGCAGTCAATGCACAGAGAGTCACAGGGCCGGCCCCACCAGGAGACAGGACATTGCTCACTGACCCATAGCGCTATGGGGGACAGCACTGGGGACATGGTGCAGATGTGCCCAATCCGACCCCACCACACCAGGTTGAAACACGACGGATACACGACGGATGTACAGCGTAGCAGCAGGGGGAGCAAAGCAATGAGGTCCCCGAAGAATGCCAAGGTGGACTTGGGGGCCAGGGCGTGGCCCCCCAGCGGACTCAACTGGAAAACACTCATAAAGGTCGCAGACAGACCTGGAACTGTTGGGGGGACTTTTCTGTGTTTGCTGTCGGCTTTTTATTTATTTATTTGCTTTCTTTGTTTGTTTGTTATGTTTGGCTCTGCTTTGTTTTTGCATGTATTATTGTCTCTGCATGTCTATCTGGACACGATAGGTGGGGTGAACAATCCGGAGGAGAGAACAAAGGGCTGGACGGTTCCGGAGAGACACAGGAGAGGGGGACGTGGGGGGAAGGAAGGAGAGGATCAAAAAACCCCGGGACAAGGGAAGAATAAGAGATCTAAAATTGATGGCGAGGAGGGCATAGGATGCTTGGGATGCTCGATCAAAGACAATGTAGCCAAGAGGAATTCCCCAAGCCCCAATGAAGGCCAAACATGATAGTGGGACAAGAGGAAAGTTAAAGGAAATAGAGGAAAGAACTGGGAGGCTAAGGGCATTTATAGAGGTCTAAATACAGGCATGTATATACGTAAATACATTTACATACAATGACGGGGTGTAGAGCTATGTATATATATTTATTTATAAAGTATTACGGCAGCAGATGGACAATTGGGCCTCCACTCAAGTACTCCCTCAACTCAAGAACACTTTGTTCTCCTAACCCAGCACTCTGTGATACTCACCTTCCCTGATACGATCGCTGAAGACAAAATGGGTGCATAGCAAATGTGGTGAAGAAAGCGGATGGTGCCCAGCTATCAAAAGATACAGCGTCTGGGGTCTTAAAGGCTTGAAGATAAACAAGTGGCCATCTAGCTGAGAAGCAACAAACCCCACATGGAAGAAGCACACCAGCCTGTGTGATCATGAGGTGTCAATGGGATCAGGTATTAGGCATCAAAGACCCAAAACAAACAAAAAAGAAAGAAAAATCATATCGATGTGAATGAGGGGGGGGGGGGGGCGAGTGGAGACCCAAATCCCATCAGCAGTCAATTTGACACCCTCTGTCAGAAGGGCCACAAGGAAGAAATGAGTCTGACAGGGTGCAGTATAGCACCGACAAAACACACAACCTTCCTCCAGTTCTTGAATGCTCTCCCACCCCCACCACTATCATGACCCCAATTCTACCTTACAAATCTGGCTAGACCAGACATGTCTACTGGTACAGATAAGAGCTCACAACACAGGGAATCCAGGATCCTCAGGACCAATAATGGGCGTAGTGATGCTAGGAGGGTAAGGGGGTGGGAGGGAGTAAGGCGGACCCGATCACAATGATCAACGTATGGCCCCCTCCCAGGGAGATGGACAACAGAAAAATGGGTGAAGCTATCGGTGTAACCCATGAAAAAAAAAAAAAGAATAATTTATAAATTACCAAAGGTTCATGGGGGAGCGAGGGTAAAAATGAGGAGCTGATACTAAGGGCTCAAGTGGAAAGAAAATGTCTTGAAAATGATGAAGACAACAAATGTACCAATGTGCTTGACACAATGGATGTATGTTTGGATTGTGATAAGAGGTGTAAGAGGGCCTCCCCCCCCAAAAAAAAGCTCCCTCTGGCTGCCACGGGGAGGATGGGCTGCCAAGGGCTGAAGGCGGAAGTGGGGAGAGGCGTCGGCTTTCACAGGGGCCGGTGTGTGAGAGCTCAGCTCGGCCTTATTTCCCGGAAAGTCTGTGCTGGCCTCCCCCGGCTGCTTGGCGCTTGGGGTGCTGCCAGGAGAGATTGAGACACTGCACTGCAGTTGCCACATGAGGCCCCCACTCCTGTTTCCTGGGGCTGGGCACCCTGGAGGAGGGGAGCACCCTGCCAGTTGGGTACCTTCCATACCAGCCTCTGCTCCAAGCCACCCACTACCAGCTAGTCATTTCTGACTCAGATCAGCCCTCTCTAGGTAAGATTTCTGAGGCTGTAAACTGATGCGGAAGCAAATGGCTTCATTTTTTCCCCAGAGGAACTCCTGGTGGATTTGAACTGCCGACCTTGTCGCTAGCAGCCCAATGTTTACCCGACCTCGCCACCTAGGCTCCTTGTCAAGCAAGCTAAACTCAGTGCCTTCAAGTCGATTCCAACCCATAGCAACCCTAGAGGGCAGGGTAGAACTGCTCCTGGGGGCTTCAGAGACTGCTAATTTGAGGGAGTAGAAAACCTCATCTCTCTTTTGATAAGGAGCTGGTGGCTTCAAACCGACGACCTTGGGGTTAACAGCCCAACACATAACCACTACGCCCCGAGGGCTTTATCTGTCCACTGGTCAGATATCAGCCAGACGTGCATCCCACTGCCTGCGTTAGGATTCTGCCCCAGTCCAACATGCCTGAGCGTGCAGGTAGTTAGATGGACAATCTTCTGGGGCTAGCCCAGACCTGCCTGGAGTTGACAGCATCTGATCAGGAGGCTGGCCCTGCTGGGTTGAAGGAGAATTTTGATCAAGCTGAGCCAGCCTTGTATTCGAGCTTAAATTCTGAGCACTCCGTTAGTGGAAGCTACGGTTTACAGCAGAAGCTCTGAATCCATTTTGAGTCTCCACCTAGATGCTGTCTCCATTGGATTCTTTGCGACCCTTAACCAGCGAAAGAGCCCTGGTGGCAGAGTGGCTGCAGGTTGGACTGCTGTCCCCCCGGGTCAGCAGGTCGAAACAAACAGCTGTTCTGCAAGAGAAAGATGTGGTGCTCTCCTCCTGCCTAGAGTCCCAGTCTGGGAACCCACAAGAGCTGTCCTGTCCCGCCCTGCACGTCAGAATCAACTGGAAGGCAGGGAGGCTTTGAGTTTATTAACCAGCAACCCGAGCAGCCCTGCCTTCAGGCAGAGTGTGTAAAGAGTAGGTAGCCACACGGCCCCTAGCCAGTCCAGGGAGGTGTGGCCTCGCCTACAGGGACTTGCCTGGATATGTTCTTGATAGAAACTGGGGTACTAGGGTCACATAGGCATGAGTCATATCCTGCTTACCTTGGCTGGAGAACCCCTGAACCCATCTGCTATGCTTTTCTATCAAGAATAATGTATGGGTCCCAATCAGGGTCCCTGTATTCCTGCCTTTGCAGTCCCACCTGCAACTGTGCTGTAGTGATCCACCACCTATTGTGTGTGTGTGTGTGTGTGTGTGTGTGTGTGTGTGTGAGACAGAGAGTTTCCTTTTTCGCGGGGCATGTCTTTAAAACCTTTGTATGTTTAAGTGGAGAAAAAATGTTTTGAGAAATGATGTACAAATGCGCTTTACACAATTGATGTGTGTATGGATTGGGATAACAGTTGTATGAGCCCCTAATAAAATGTTTTAAAAAAAATTTAAAAAAACAAAAACAAAAACCTTTGTATGCTATGATGGCCTCCCTCGTCCAGATGAATTGTCTTTATCTCGCTGAAAACGTAATAAGCATATCTCTATAATTATACTTGAGCAACCACCCCAAACTGAAGATGCAAACTCATTCTGACGGTCCCAATAATGGCGATGATTGACAGCAGAAGTCTGGTAGCACCAGGGTTCCACATCTCCTCCCGTAAAGAGTTACGGTCTTGGAAACGCACAGTGGAGGTTCCGCCCTGCCCTGTGGGGTCGCTCTGAGTCAGCGTTGACCCCATGGCATGGCGGTGTGGCACAGACGTGCTCCTATATCTGATGTGAACCGCCTCACCTAGTCTTCGTCATTACTTGGACCATCACAGCAACCTGGTCTCCTTGCCCTTGCCCCCCCACACACACAGCAGGAGGGCACCGGTGAACTCAGACAGGTCATACATAGCCCACTCTCCTGGCTCAGAGCCCTCTCCCGTCTCCACCTTCTCCTCCGCTCGCTGCAGTCACCACGAGGTTTGTGGTGGGCTCCCCGCTGCTCCGCCCTCACCCTAGACCTACCAGGAGCCATCTGGGTTCCTGAGTGGCAGGACTCAGACAGGCTGGGTCCCCGCATTGCCTCCGCCTGAGCCCTGACCCTCCTCTAGAGGACACACCTGCACCCCCAGCCCATCTGCCCCAGCTGCCCCTGCGACCAGCGTCATTTCCCCTTTTCACTCCTGAGCTCGGCCCCAGGGAACTGTGGGAGTTGGCAAGTGGACAGGGAGGGGGACTTCCTGTATCTGGCCCATCCCCCCAGCACCCTAACCTCAGCTTCCTCCTTCTCCAGTTTCAGCTCAGCCTGCTGGGGGGGCTCCAAATCCCGGTTTCTTCCTGGGCGGCCTTTCTTAGTCTTGACTTCCGGTCACTTGCTCCTTCTGGGGAATGACCCAGCTTGGCCCAGTGGTCACAGCATGGTTCCCCACTCCCCACCCCACAAAGACCTCTTTCAGAGCTGTGTGTCTTGGGGTCGCTATCCATGTCTCTCCTGTCTTCACAGATGTCCGCCCGTGGCTCTCCCTCCCTCATCTTCTGCCTGGCTTGTTTGTAAGTCTTTGTCTTTTCTGCTTGCGAGTCAAGAAACCATTTTGGGGGGGGGGGGCTCTATTCTCGCCTTTCTTTGCTTTAAATCAAGTGTCTTTACATCTCAGGAATGATAAGTCATTGCTTCAGAAGGGTGTGAGGTAGTGTAAACACCTGGGTGTCCACATCTTGACAGCTCTATCTCCACTCCCCTAAGCTTCGGTTGTTTTCCTAATATTGTCAGTACTGCATGGCTACCTCACTGCCAGCGAGTGCTCTGACCCATAGCACCCCCAGAGGACAGGGCAGAACTGCCCCTGGTGGGTTTCTGAGACTGTAGCTCTTTAGGGGAGTCAAACGCCTAAACTCTCTCCCTCGGAGCCATGGGTGGTTTCGAACTGCTGACCTTGCGGTTAGCAGCCCAACACATAATCTCTACACTCCCTTATACATTGACAGAGCTCTCTCTTAATAGGCTGAGAACATCAAGAGGTTCTGGTGATCACATCACCATGACCATAGGCAGCCTCTGTGGCCACTGCCAGACCTTGTTCTAGAAACATTGACTCATTGAGTCCCCCCTACCCCCCGAAACCCTCGGAAACAGATGCTATTTGATTTCCCACTTGACAGCAGAAGCCCAGGGAGATGGAGGGCCTGGGCCACCCTGGCAGAGGCAGCATTGGCTTCAGTCAGCCAGCCAGCCACTGCCCTTCGTGTGCCGCTGCTCCGATCAGGGAGGAAAGTCCAGAGCTGGGGATACGCTTTTGCCACTTGCCTTCCATGCCCAGCCTTCAGCGGCTACAGCATGGTCCCTGAGGGTCTGGGCCTGATTCCTACAGTTGCTACTTCTCTCTGACTCTCCTTCCGTCTCCCTCCCTCCTCCCATCTACCCCCACCCACCTCAGACTTCCTCCTTACTGGGTTGGATACTAAGCCACACCCCACTGGCCTGAGACTGTAGTGTCCGGCGGCGTCCTCTGCATCATGGGGGCCATCAGACCCTCCGGTCCCCTCCTCTTGCTGCCTCTCCTTCTGACCTTGGGTGGTGAGTTGGGGTCTTCTGCGCCTGCTTCCTGGGCCTCAGGCTCGGCTCAGCGCAAGGCAGGGAGAAGACTAGAAAGGAGAAGCCCAAGAGGAGGGTTGGGACAGAAGCAGACAGTCTCTTCCGGAAACGGAGACCATAGCACTTGGCCGAGGGTGGAAGCAGGGCTGGGGGGTGGCGGGGCAATAAGACGAGTCCGGGTAGAGGTCATGGCCAATGGCTGCTACATAGCCCAATCCAGCGGCCTCTCGGAGCCCACCAGACCCCCCACTAGAAGCTGCTCTCCCCCTCCTCTGTGACCGCTCTTCCCATCCCAGGCTCATACCTCACTTTACCATCTTTTTCTCCTCTCAGGTGTCAGCCCTGCCCAGGCCCAGAGCGGTAGGCATCTAGACCCTCTCCCACCTCCCAAAGACCTCCCCATTTCTGTTCCTTCCCCAATAGCAGCAAAGCTCCCTCTGCTAATGGCCTCCCCTCCCCCTTCTAACTGCCTCCCAGCCCCACCCCACGCTGTGCCCAAATTCCCAGCCTCCACTGACACACACATCCACCCCTAACCCCTGTGCCGCAACCTCAGATTGCAAGTGTCCTGCCATTGGCCCTGGTGTGCTGGCTGGGATCGTGCTGGGGGACCTGGTGCTGACCCTCCTCATTGCCCTGGCCGTGTACTCTCTGGGCCGGCTGGTCTCCCAGAAACGAGGGGCTGCAGAAAGTAAGTAGGGCTGGTGGGACATGGCCTGGGACAGTCTGAGGACATGCCAGGCAATACAGTTCCTGGTCACAACCCATCAAAGAAATGGTTGCTGGGGACAGGAGCGGGGGACAGGAAGAAAAGTGTCTCCATTCAGCACCCTGTCCACCCACCTCATCCTCTCCCCACCCCTTCTCCCAGCAGGGGCTGGGAAACAGCGCATGACAGAGATGGAATCCCCTTACCAGGTGAGGACAAATGGATGTCTGGGCTCACCCTCTCCTGATTGCTGTTGCCAAGACACGTTCAAGTGTACTTGGAGGCAGGCACTGAAGCATTCTGGAAAAAGGCATTTCCCAAGTGGCCATGGTCCAGGGAGTGGGGTGGCCCCAGGACTGGCTGATTTAGGGGAGAAGCTCTCATTGGGTCATAAGCTCTAATTTAGCCTGGTTTGGTAACTGAAGATCAGGGTTCTCAAGCTTTTTAGGGACTCCCTCTGAGAAGGTGGCGAAAGCTAGAGGTTGGTCAGACAAATCCAGGCTAACAACACAAAAGCAAGCATCTCACCTTGGGAGGGTCCAAGTAACCTTGAACCCTTTCTTGGGAACCCTCTGTCCCCACTTGTTCTGAGCCCTTTGTTGGTGGTGCGTCATGGATTATTCTCAGAAGGTGAGGGAAGTCACGTGACAAAAATGCATGTCCATGCCAACATCTGTGTCTAAGGCGCGTCTGAGGCTTGGCCCAATGGGACCACAGACCCGCCTCTCAATCGTGACCCCAGTTCTGTGTTTTATTTCCTATCTGCTACTAGGTTGCTTGTTTACCCCTCGGTTGTTTTTTGTGTGTTTTAAATCTCTTTATACAAAGAGTAAGGAAGAATCTTGAGCTGAATCCTAGTCCAGAAGATTGAGGGTACTTCCCAATCAGAATGAAACTTTAGCACAAAGCATTGCTTTGATTGATTCCTGATTGATTCTGTTGGGTTTGTTGAACATTTACTATATGCCAGACACTGGAGATCGCACAGAAGAGCTTAGGCCTTCAGCAGACTGGAGGTAAATCAAATGGGTCCGTTTGGGAGGCATCACGAGACCTGAGACTTGCTGGAGCCCCCCTGGAAGTTCTATGGGACTAGTATTCCAGGCAGAGAGCAGGGCCAGGCAGTAATGATGAGTTTGCTCGAAGTGTGTTTGATGCTCCACTGCCACGGATGGTCTCTGGCCTGACCCTCTATTGCCTGCATCTCTTTAGGAGCTTCAGGGACAGAAGGCAGATGTCTACAGCGATCTTCAAACACAGAGGCCGTATTACAAATGAACGCATGCCACACAGACTACAACCACCTATGTCTGTATCCACTCATCCCTGGTACCCAGCCCACACCCCACTCTTACTCTCACTCAGACACAGATTCAGAGAATATCTCTCAAGAGATTCAGACTTCTCCCCGCCGCCATTCCCTAAATAAACATAAATCACAGAAACACTCTTGAGTCCGACAATTCCTTGGACCGAGGGAATGGGGATATGCGTGTGGGGTCTGTTCTCATAGCGATTTACAAAGCTTTGGAAACCCCGTGTAATGTTGCTATGAGTCCACGTTGACTTGAGGGCAGTGAGTTTGTTTGTCTGCTTTAAAGAGGGACGAAGGGCCTCAGGACAGTGCAGTGGATTAAGAGTTGGGCAGCTAACTGCAAGGCTGGCGGTTCAAATCCACCAGCCACTCACTCCTTGGGAGAAAGATGAGGCTGTCTGTTCCCATAAAGATGCACGCTGAAACCCTAAGGGGCTGTTCGACTCTGCCCTCATGGGGTCGCGGTGAGCTGAAAGCAACTGGACTATTCAGTCATTTTCCAAGAGGATTTTGGGGTCGGAAACAGCTAAATAGGAAGGAGGCTCTGGGAACCTTGGGGTTCTTTGAGGAAGAATTAAAACTAGAAAACTAGAAGTATTTCAACTGCTTTATTTCAAAATGGGGCTGGGGGCGGGGGG